CATTGATCAGTTGCCTCCACCATGAATGGATCACGGGTCATTTTTGTTTTTGCGAGCGAAGCCGCAACAGGTCATCTAGTAAAAATTAAAACTGAAATAGTGACGGCCCCCTAGTTACCCCCCCCAATATAAAACAAAACAAAAAAACGAACAAAAAGCTGGTTGGCTGCATTAGAAAATACTAAAATTATGGGCTGGTCCCCGGATGGACTGGGGACCCCTACCCCATCCGCAGTCCTCCCAGTTGGACCGGCCGGTAATTTGTCATCTTGTGGTCCAACGGACCAGTTACCATTGGCAACGTATGATGTTCTTTCACCCTCAGCCACGAGGGGAACACTATGCTTGTGATGAGGCTCTGCTGAGATTATATTCTTCTGCAACGTCCCTGCCATCTGTGGAAAACGTTATGGGTTCGGATTTTGGAATTGTGATGTCAGAGCCGTCCGAGGTGCAAGCCCTAAGCTATATTCTTCTCTCTATCTATCTCGAATGGACCTTGCTCCACTACATGTATCTGGACAGACTACCAGGCAAGATACTTCCGGACTGATAACTCACCTTATGTAGAAACCAACAAACAGAAAACGCTCTGCCTCCACGAGCTGAAAGCTGGAACCATAACTCTTCTGCTGTCGAGTTATACTCTGGAAGAGCTATAACTTCTGGCAAGGACCTCCTCTCATCATATCTGGTTCAGCTCGTGGGGTATCAATATCAAATGACACACTCCACGAAGTGCTCCAGCCACTGGGGGGTCGGATAAGTGAACTGGCTTACTTGACCCCTCACCGTGGAAGCCAAGTTGCCTGAATATGTCAATAATAACCCCCTGACCCCTCTGGAAGCCCCCTGAAAAATATTGCACCTTGAAAATTTTATTGCGGATTCCGACAGCTCTTGAAGAGCGCAGTCGGAATCTGCCGAAAAAAATATATATATATATATATATTTGGGCACTTTTTTTTCAAAACCGGTTTCCCGGTTCACCCCCCCGGGCTGGTCCGGCTCCGGTTGGACCGGGGTAGCTCAACCGGCCGGTTGTCGGCCCAGCACTTCAAATAAAATAGCATAGTAAATGCAGCTGTCCCCCATATGAGGAGAAGGCAGCTTGCATTTTCTTTCTTAAATCACCAACTACCTTTCACAGGCAAACGCAATGTCCATCAAGTAGCCTACTCCTAAAAAGTCGGGGCCTCGGGGCAGGGTTGGAGGCCGAAGAAAAGAAAATGAAAGAAAGAAGAAAGAAAAAAAGAAAAAAAAAACTAAGAGTTTCGAATCCAGCGACGTCGGGAAAGGCCCTCACGAAGGTGGAAGTTACACCAGTGGATTGAGGAATGGATTTGGCCACCCTGTGGGGAACGTGATTGCTGGGTTGCCCCCCCCCCTCCTTGTTTTCATGTCCTTGTAGTGCCTTGCCAGCCAGGCAGGGCGTGGCAGCTAACCTTTTGGCTTACCTCATACTAGTTGTTACATGCTGTATAGGCCCCAACCTATTTCCCTACAGGGAAACTTCCAGGCTCTTGCCTGGAAGCTTCCTTCTGACAGGGCCTACAGGCCCCAGCCTGTTTCCCTACAGGGAAACTTCCAGGCTCTTGCCTGGAAGCTTCCTTCTGACAGGGCCTACAGGCCCCAGC